AAATATATACTATACATTTATTTATTTTTATAGTTGTCAAAGGACTTTACGTATTTTCGCAAAGACCAAATGGTCATCAAGGATGCCGTCCGAAAAATTAGTTCGCTGCTCACTTTTACTGAAAAGTTCCTTTCCGAAAAGATAATCTTACTTTTACAAGCCTTTCTATACTTTCTCTATGCAATAGTTTTTGTTATTACAGATACCGGAAAAAGATGAGGTTCAGACCCAAAGCAAGCTTTTCCGTGAATGCAAAGTGCTGTCGACCAGAAGTCCCTTGGTCGCATCACCGGTGACATGAAAATGAAGGGTATTTGCAGCTTTCACCTAAAATTCCCACGTCATCGGCTGCATAACTGGCTGGGGCTAGTGTAGAGACAATGGTAAATTTATTGATTGTAAAAGATAATATACTTTTTGAGATTATATTTGTATTTATTTAATTTCATACAATAAACGAACTACGATTTGCAGGGACGTAAGGGGAAATTAAAGTGCATTAATATAATTTTGACGAGCTTTATAATATTACATATACTAAGTTTATAATAGTATAGCATTGTAAAATTTTTTTCCAGAGCATTAAGTTTTAATAGAAATAAGCAATTTCAATATAAATTCAGTCCAAATAAGTAAGGTAGGTTACGTTAATTAAGTTGTAAATAGCATTAATTGTGCCTTTGCAAATGAAAGGGACTCTAATCATGACTAAAGTGAAGCAATATAATATAGTATGTTTAATTTATTACCATTGTTATAGATGGCGGCTTTCTGTACCTGTATGTTACAAAGCGTTTTTATTGTTTTCTTTTTTATTTTTTAGTGATAGCCAAAAAATTAATTATGGCAAGCATTGGACATCTTGGCGGAACAGGGCAGAGTTTGGGTGAACCTACTAGAGAGGTAAGCATGGCAATGTAATACCTAAATTTACTATTTATCTATTTACTTAGCGTTTTTTATTTCCTTTTGCTCAACACTTTCAAAATTGCTGGTGTGTCGTCAAATAACGTAACATTGTGCGTATACATACATATGTAAATACTTGATTATTTGCTGTTCCTAAACAATTTATTGAATTCTTTTTGATTGCAAACAGAAATTTTTGAATTATTTCTAATTGCAGATAGAAATCAGATTTCTTGATTTTCAAAACACACTACACGGAAATTACTAACTTTGGTATTTAATTTATTTCTTAAATTTTACTATAACCAAATAAAATTTTAATTGCGACTTTATGTGCATTATAAGGCATTTTTATTGTTTTCTTTTATATCTTTTTAGATTCGCCAATAGTGGATAGCATTTACTTGGTTTGGCTCACAAAAGTTTAGAAAACTAATGTTATCCTGATGACTACATCCAAGTGGCGTAGGACGTGTTTTTTAAAAGATGAAATTAATACAATAATTTATTGAATTTCTTCATGAAAAGTAGTATACTACATTCATCAAACAAAATGTGGAAGGATCCTGAACAAAAGTAAGTAAATTACATATACAAGGTGCTTTCCAAAGTTAACAGGACTTTTTGGATCTAGCTCCCCCTGGTGGCCTGGTGGCCTGGTGGCCTCATCTATATGTCGACTAGTGCGTTAGAATCTGCTATCTTAATCGATTATCCAGTGAGCATTTGATGACATTTCATAGATTGGAAGTGAAGTTATTGCGTTTTAAGTGTCAGTATGCTTATGTTATCAGTGCGAAAATGAGCTTCGAACAAAAAGCCAACATTAGATTTTGTTTTAGAATTGGTAAAAAAAACGAGTAGCAGAGTACGCGAGTGGTTTCAACGTTTTCAAAGTGGTCGTGAGGTCATAAATRTCGATCCGTGATCACAGGAAATTCCATCGAAACTGTGCTTGAATTCATCTAAAGTCAGCCGAAATCATCATAATTGAAATTCATGGAAATGGAATTGAACATCTCCAAAACATCGATTTATCGCATTTTGACTGAACATTTGGGCTTACGAAAGATGTGTGCACGGTTTGTTCTGCACAAATTGACTGTCTACCAAAAATTGCTCTAAATCCATCTCATCAAAAATCACATTTGAACCATTAGCCACTCCCCGTATTCACCTGGTGTGGCACCGCGTGTCTTCTTCCTTTTCGGAAAATTATTTTCCCATTAAAGGAATGCGTATGCAGACGTAGAAGCTATTCAAAAGGCTTGCATCGGCATAATGGCGGTCATACGAGCTAAAACATTCGTTCGACATGTTTTTGGACCATGCAAAAAGCTGTATTGAAGCAGAATAAAATAAATTAATTTTACCGAAAAAAAAACATTTTTTCTGTTTTTGTTTTTTTAAGTCCTGTTTACTTTGGAACGCACCTTGTATAATTGTTCCCGATATTAATTTTATTTGTGACCATATATTGGCAGTATCATAATATATAATTATAAATTATTTAATTATAACTGAGCCATACTGCAAGTTTGTGTGTTGAATATGTAAATTGTTTCTTCTGATTCTTTTAGCAAAAACCTGAAAGTGGAATACTTTTTTATATTAACTCGAAATATTTTCTTTGGTTAGGAAATTTTAACAATTTTTTAACATTAGTTTGGTTACCTTAACATACATACGTAACCTATGTTAATCTCTTGTTTGGTTACCAAACAAATGTTAAGGTGATCAAACAAAATGATACGGGGAGTAAAAAAAAACATTTTAGGAACAATTTTTGACGTTTCTTAAGATGAAATCACTGGTAACCACCGTAGATTGCACAATCATATCATCTACGGTAACATATCACGTTAAATTTTGTAGCCCTCAACTTTTTATAACTATTAGGTACACACTTAATGGTATACTATTTATTTATAATGTAGATACCTTAACAACGACGATAAAGAAAAAAACACAATATATTTTATATTATTAGGTTTTATTTGGACACTTTATGGAAACTCAGGCTCTACTGTATTAAAATAGTTACAATTTGTCACGAATATTTGCTGCATTTTGTGATATATTTGCATAGTTCGTTGACTGCACGTCTACCAAGTGGATACAATCATTGTTTACATAATTTCTTAAGTAAACAGACGAGTTTTTTGATTAAGAAATTATGCAAATAACAACATGCAAGTGTTATTTTAGCACTTTTTTCATTGTTGTATGTAAAATTCTGGAACGATTTGCTTAAATTCCAAATGAGTTTCCAACAACACGGCGTGCTCTAGAAAATCGGTAATTAAATATTTGCTCCTTTACATTTAAATTGCGACAATTATAAGGTTTTATTACATTTTCTAAAAGAGGAAATGCGTCATCTTTAACAAACACATAAGGTATAATATCCTCAGAAAATGGCTATTTTTCTGGTTGTGGAAGGTTCAGAAGGCCTTTAATTTTGATTGCCCAAATATCCCAGAATCAGAAGCTATTCCATTCATGCCGACCTCTACTGCTAAAAACTCATAATTTGCGCTGACTATCGCTATCAGTACTATGCTAAATTGTTTTCTGTAATTATAGTAATAAGATCCGGATTTATCTGGTTTTATAATATTTCATCAATAGCACCTGTGCAGTGGTTGTAATTCCATTTATTTTCAAATTCGGCTGCAATTATTTTCCATTCCTTGGCATTATTTAATAAGGAGCAGCAATTGTTTGCTAAAAAATTGATTGATGGAACTTTATTACATGGCCAATAGGGGAACCTCAACATAACTTCAGTTATAAATATTGAAAATCATCGGCCACATTTTTCGTATCAGGACCAACTGCTCATCGTTTACTTCACAATATTCATCACATTCAAATTTCTGTAAATCAAATGTGTACCTGAACTAACACCACATTTTGATCTCAGTATTGAATTTTTGTTCGTTTATTTAATTTTAATGTATTTTATCTTTTATATTATGCAATATTTTTTACAAAGTGTCCTTAGAGAATTGACTCCTAGTTTATGAATGTATGTATGTATTGCTTACTTGTATAAATAGCTTTAATTGAGCATCTATAGATTAACAAGTCTCTAAAATATTTTTTCCAAGGCATTGGCCTGAAATATTTGTTAAAAATTTCAAATCTTCGTAGGTTTGTCCAGGAGTAAGGAACATATGGCGTAATTGCATCGTAAATTATAGTATTGCGGGAGCTATTCTGCTCAGAAGCATTCCATAAGTTGTTGCATCCATGCGAAAAAAGTTTGTCAAATCTTTTGCACTACTAATTTCCATATCTTTTAACAAATGTTTATGAGAGCGACTAATCCTTTTACTCAGCCAATCCGCTACCCAAATCCTTTTTTTATTTTTTTTTATGAAGAACGAACGCATAATGGCCCCTTTTACTTACTCTTGATACAGTATTAATTTTTTAACCGTTCTCGAAAAAAATCTTAGCTCGGATTCACAACTAAACGCACATCGATGAATAATAAAAGGCACATATTCTTCAAATTGACAACTTACCCTATCTACTTACCCTTAACCTACAGAAACAATTTAGGGGAATTCTCCTGAGTTGTCATGATTAAAGTGGGGTTGCAACCTGTCATATTTGTTTTGAAAATGGGAGAAATTTCCAAAAGTTCAGTTCGATCGAGATTTCGGGTAAGGATTCGAGGGCTCCCTGTATTTGATTGCCCCGGAGCAATACTCCGCCATAGCCCTTGATAGTTATGCTACTACTTGTATGTACTATACATATGTACGCAAGTAACAACTGTTTCGTTGGCGTTCAAATTTACAAAGGCAATGTATACCTATACTCGTACTACTTACACATGAACAATGTACCGCGGCACATTTAAGATGTGCAGAAAGAGCAAATCTATACTTGCGGCGGGTCCGTTAACATTAACATACAAGAGTCCTTGTATGTTTGGAGACTCTCAGAGAGCCACTTCCTATTTGTGCTTTTCGCTGTTTTGAGAACACAGAATTCCAGCTTTGCAATTCATCCACGTTTGTTACAGCGTGACTGAAGCCCTACGCTTCAGTCACTAATCGTAGTCGGTAGTTATTACATTTACGCTGCGGGTTCCTTACAATATTTGAAACAAAATTTCGATTTACGTCACACGATTGTTTATTGCGGTATCCTCTTTGCGTTAATTTCAGAGTCATTAACCAAAGTGTTTTATAAAAGAAACTTATTGCCGATTCGTGTGAAGACATGTCCACCGGTTAATTTGCGTGATTTGACAAATAATTGAAATTTAAAAACATGAGTATGTGTATTATATGTGCGAATGTATGTTGTCGTACAAAGTGCCGAAAATATTTTAGTGCAAATACGAATAAATTGCAAGCCAACTAAAAATACCCAAACATATGTCTTAATTAACTAATTCATGCATTACGTTTAATGCAGGCAGTGTGTATAGTTAAGTTGGATTAATAAGCAATGCTGTCCTAGTTGTGATAAAAATTAAATAAAAGTACATAAAATAATGTTAACAAAATATTATGTAAAATCTGGAATTATTATCCAAAATGTAAACAGTAAAGTTTTTGAGGGAATTATGAAACCTAAGAATCTCTTTGAGTTTTTGTAAGCAACATCTATTTAACTAGCAATAAGTCTTTTAAATACCACATACACCCATACATACAAAAATAAGTTTGTTGTGTGTAAAATAAGGTCATATGTTATATGTGCCATATGAAGACGGATGAGTTAGTTATGATCACTATTAAGGAATCTGATCTACATACATATGTGAATTTGATAATAAAATCAATATAATACATACCGTTTAAGACATCATACTTCCAAATGAATACGTTTTTGTCTTAACTAAACTTAATATGATTTAAGTAAAAAAGTCTTGTTTGATGAACATAATTGTGGTTATAGATTCATCAAGCGAGTGTCTTTTCAAAAAATACTACGAAATCAAATTTAATATTATATTATATGAAGTAAAGTGAAGTGATTTATATGTACATGGTTACATATTATGGTTCCATTCTTAGGGTAATTTTTGTGCACTCTACTATTTATTGTATTAGGAAGGTTTTCCAAATTTTTTTTTAACTTTTTTTTAGTTTTGAAGTAGGAGTCAGATAATGGAATGCGGAAATACTCCAATTGTATATTGTTTTGAGTGATTATTAGAAATACGGACCCAATCTAATTGAATCTTCGATTTCAAAATGACGGAAGGAATTAATTAATTGAGAATGGATAAAATAAAATATCCCACGATTGGATATGAACATATGTAATTATGATATGTGTAGTGTGGGCATACGTATTTAAATATATATGTATGTACATACAGATGTATGTACTTTGTACTTTGATTCTGTCAAGTATGCATAAAAGCGTCATTGAAGATGAAATCGTAAAACATTTATTGATAACTGATTTTAAAATATAAGCGTCAGCATAATTCCTTTTTTTTAATTTTATGTGTATTTGTGAATTTTCGTAAAATTAGTTATAGTGTGGATTTATCAATAAATAAAATAGTTACAGAAAAAGTGCTTTACTTTTCGTTAATTTATTCGGGTTTAAAATTCTCGTTTAGTTATTATGGTGATTTACGGTTGAAACAAATAAAAAAAAATATATGGTATTAAATGAACCAAAGAGTTGGATATACATACGTGGGAAAAGTCAACCAGGCAATCGAGAATCATTAAACGAGTTAAGGATATGAAGTTTATACCAAGATCTACTGCTTTCATATTCAGCGTTAAATCACATTATAATTATGAAAACTTTTCCACTTTATTTCATACATTTTGTTCAACAAAAACGGTTTAAAGCCAGGTGCAAAATCTGCATTCACTATATCGGTAATATGGGGGGTAGGGGAAGGTATAAATGGATTGTGGATTCAAGTATACTCAAGAACATGTTTTCGCACAAATTTATAAGGATGAAATGTTCATATTCCGACCGACATATTCGAAAAAAGGGGTGGACGAAGTCCTTACCACTCCAATTCGAAGTTCCAAACGTGGCATTGATCCGATGCCACTCATTTGCAACACCAACATTCTAATAATACCAGGGAATACTAGTAACGAGTTTTATTAAGATATCTTTATTTGAGTCCCTTTCATAGGTGGATCGACAGACATTTATACGGAATTCAACTTGTCTCGTCAATATTATCATTTATATACATATTTATGTAACTATGTAGCTGTATATCGATAAGATAGGTGTTACAAACAATGGTTAGGTATACAAAACTATGTTACTCTGGAGAAACATGTTCCTAGAGAATAAGAAACCGAAAACGCTTGGTGATCAATGTGAAGTTAACCCGAAATTATGAAATTAAATGATATCCGACTGATAGCTAAGGAATTGTGTGTGTGTAATAACTATATATAGTGACAGAATAAATAGAGAGGAAATCAAAGCAATATTTTAGTGCTGTTACCATTAATTTCTTGTGTCGAGAAACCCTCCTAGAATAAACGAAGCAGCCAAGTTCATAGTGTGCAACAAAATGGTGTTGCTGAGTAATCCAATTTTGTTACCGATTTCCCACTTAAAATGGATGGTTATTTACCCTACGGTACTACTACTATTACAGCCTATTCGTGACGTTGTGGGTGGAGAAAAATTAGGTAAGTTCATGCTTATGAATAAACTGATATTTTAATTTGCAATATATCTCTTTTACGCCGCGCTTGGTGATCTGTCCATACGTACAAACAATAAAGAAATGAAATATTAATGCCCCTATTACTGGTTTCAACTCAGCTGAATTTTAGTTTACGTTTTGAAATTCGGTATTATCGACATCAAATCAAATTAGGTTGTTATCACAGAAATACAACTACATAATGAAAGCTTATTCTCCGTGTGCCTATGCAATAGTTTTTACACTCTGTACAGCATCTCAATACAGACTAACTTAAACTAGAATTGATGTAATCTTGAGTTGGTTAACTTTGGTCAACCTTTCTGTTGTTTTAAAATGGATAAAAAATTTATATAATAATATAATGTATCAATATTTGCTGAGAAAATAGGGAGTAATAACCCTGTGAATGAATTTAAATGTAAAATTCCTTCAATTTTATTTTTAAGCAAAAAATATGAAAAATATCTACCTTAATTTATTAAAATCTACTTTAATTTGTGTTGATTTAACTTCTTAAATTGATAAAAATACAAAACAGAAAAGTAATGTAAATATACAAAAGTTTTTGACATAAATTATAATTTTGAAACAAATCCTTTGAGGAATTATCTACAATTTTTAAATGCGAAGTGCTGTAAACTTTTTTACCCAAGACTATTTTATTTATTTAATAATGCTTTATTTGCAMCCAAGTGCATTATTTACACCGGTCTTTTATTGTAAACGCCGGTTCATTAGTGTATTTAAGTGATACATTATTCGTAAACTTTAAATTTTCCAATTTAACATTGGTTTCAAAAGAAAAATTCCGAATGAAACCTGCCAATAGTACTTTAATTGTCATAAGAGCATATTTCCATCCTGTGAGAAAAATAATATAACAATTATAAGTAAACGTTTATATATGGAGGTACAGGAATATACATTTATAATGTGGTAAAAATGCTTACCTATACAATCTCGAACACCTTTCGAAAAAGGTATGTATGCATGCGAATGCTTTTCTTGCAAATTCTCTCGCAAAAAATTCTCTGGGTTGAATTTATCGGCATTTAYACCCCAAATATCAGTTCTCCGATGTAAATCGAAAATTGAAACTAAAATTTCGATTCCTTTTGGAATCACTAAACCGTTGCTCAGTGTAGTATCTTGTATGACTTGACGACCAATCATGGGTATGGAAGGCATTAAGCGTAAAGTCTCATTTACAACCATATCCAAATATGGTAGATTATTAATATTTTCACAGTCCACGAAAAAATCTTTGTCGGGGAACATGTTTTCGATTTCCTCGAATAATCTTTCTTGTACAGCAGGATGCATAGCTAACATCAAAAGTGCTGACAATAGTCCATTGGCGGTCGTCTCAAAAGCCTATAAGATGGTTAATATAAAGTAAAAATTACGGAAATATGAAGGCCAGTTACTTATAGATTACCTAAAAAAAAACATAGAAATCATATATCAATATTCTAGTTATTTATTACTATAAACAGTTTATTTGAACGTCAAAACTACGGATTTTAATGGTAAAACTTTACTCTAATAACATTGATAATTTTATTGGAATAGAGTTTTCAAGTTTATTACATTTTTTTCTACAACCTCTAAAATTTACCACATTTCAGCAACATGAAAAATTTAAAAGTTTTTATTTTAAATAGTTTTGCAAAAATATATCTTACTAAAAGAAGTGTAAAACATTACTAAACAGAATTTAGCGGCATAGAGTCCGTGTTTTAAAGTTTTGACTTTGTATATACATATTAAGTATATTCAATTATTAGGCAGTGCAATATAATTGTTTGCTTAAGGGGTTAGGGGTGGTCAGAATTTACAAAAAATTATTACTTTTTTGCATTTTCGTTAAGTGTAATATCTTAAAACCATTCTCTTAAAATTTCACGTTGATTAGATAATTAGTTTTTGAGTTATTCGACAAATAAGAAAGAGAGCTCGGGCACTTCAAAGCGTTAGTATGAAACTTTAAATGCGTTTTCTCAAAACTTTGTTTTTTGAACTGGTGACAACTGTAACTCGAAGACCGCTCAGTAGATTTCAATCAAATTTATACAGCTTTTAGAATACATAATAAACTCGGGCCTGATCGAAGGATCTTTTTTTTAAATTTTGATATTTTAAAACCAATAAACTGTTGATTTTTTCGCAAAAATTTAGAAAAAAAATTCTTTGGGCCGCCATTTTGTTATTTAAAAAAAATCCTTCGATCAGGTCCAGGATTATCTATTTATAAAACTAATTTTTTTTGTTTGTTCGATTGATTTTAGATGTATCTCCAAGGACTTATGGTTATCACCGCAAGTACTTTGTTTTGACAACTGTAACTTTGGAAATAAAAATTTGTTTTTTGAAATTTTTGTGACTTCAATTCAACACATTCTATAATAATGCCATATTACTACTTTTATAAAATAACACGATTTAATAGCAAAAAAAAAAAAAAAAATACTGAAAATTGTCATATTTTTGTGCCTCTGACTGCCCCTTAATTATAACTACATATATCAGCGCCCCTGCGGTGCCGATTTGGGAAATGAATGAAAGGTGGATGTGTCATTTTATCTTGAGTCCAATCGAGAGTCCGTTGAAAGTGTTACTGAAAACCGTTCAATACGACAGTCGACCGGCAATTTTATATCAGTTTTTTTTTTTAGGATTTAAAAATTATTATTTTTCATATTTAAACATACAGTAACCAATACTACGATATCAAAATAAGGCAACGACTTTTCTTCCTATGTGGTTGTAGGTTCTATAATTTATTTTATAAGTAATTGCAAAAATTAAAAGCATTTTTTACATACCGCAGATACAATTGTGTTCGTTTCACCAATGAGATCTTGATGCGAAATTTTTCCTTCTCGATATAAATTAATAGCATGGTCAATGAAAATATTTGGTTTCTTCTCATTAAATGCCTTATTTTCATGTAAATCACTGTTTACAGAATTATTTGAAGATATATTGACATCAAGTCGAATATTTTCCGTACTTGGGGTTTGTGAGAGTTTTCTATATAAAAGCTAAATAAATAATATTCAGAATAATTGTTGATGTTTATTGTTTTATAGCTAGTACTAATTACCCCTTTAAGAAACTTGTACAGAAATTCCTTCGATGCTTTCGTAAACCAGGCGTACAAACGATCCAGTTTCACATATGCTAAGAAGCATTCAATTGGAAGTTTTTCCATGCTTCTAAAACTTTTTATAACAGTATTAAACTACATAATTTATTATTTTGTACTAACATGACATATGACTTCACTAATTCCTCTGACACCTGATCGCCTTTTTTCATCTCATTTCCCATAGTGGTTTCTGCATTAAAGTCGATTAATACAAGCTAAAGATGCTTATGTAAGTACATATATTAAAATTTCTCACCAAAAGTTATACTTAGAGTGATCCTTTGCAACTCTTCACTAATATAGACATGCTCATTCCTTGTAAAGTTTCTGAATTTTAGAATAGCCCCGTCTTTAGCTTTATTAAATACGGGCAAAAAAGAGGTCAGTACTTTCTGATGGAAACTTGGATTTATCATACGGCGATTTTTATGCCATTGATCCGCTATGCCATTTAATTGAAATCAATTACAATTTTTGAATTTCGATTAATTTGTTATTAGAAAGTAGATGTTTGCAATAATGTGGGCTATGCAACAAATAGTAACCGCCTTAAAAAATATAATTTCTAAAGCAGGGCTTCAATGCAGTTCAAAGATTCGGTCAAATGCATGAGTTTAAACTGTAATATTTAGTTATTGATTTATCGCGCTTTTAGTAGTTTTTAACAGTACTCTTAAATGGCGAGTGGGATGATTATTATTCAATTTCATTCGTTTTCACATTGTCGGTAGAAGATTTTATAAAATTTGCTCTAGCCGAATTTGGTTATTGTAGCTTTAGTGGTTAATGATATATATACATTAAACATATTTGAGAGCGCCCACTTTTTCAAAATTTTTATTGAACGGATGCCACTTGCTACTCTGCTCCCCTCTGCCAAATTTCAGCGTCATATCGTAAATTAGTACTTAGTTATAGCACTTTAAGCGTTTTGTTTGTAATCATCTACGAACTGCTGTCACAGACGAATGGACAAACAGACAACCCTATATAAAAATCGATTATGTTTAGGTGATATACATAAGTAAACAACCTTTAGGTGAACAAAAGTATTATGTTTTGTTGCAACATATTGCCAGAGTATAAAAGTGATATTTTATTAAAATCTAAAATATAATATGAGTATGAAGTATGGCTCAATTAAGTCGTTAAATAATTTATATACAAAAATATTAATTAATTCGAAAATTTAAAATATTACACTAATGTTTACAAAAAATGCTGTTTGGAACACTGATTTAGTTCAAATATTTTAAACACGAATTTTAGGACATAAAATGACAACTTAATCTTTTAAACTCGGTAATTTTAAAAGATAGGTCTCTTATATATTAAAATAATAGTTTCAACCTTTCCAATCATACGCACTGTTTATTGCTATCGTTGTTTAATTAAGAACTCTTGCACTGAATCTTTCAACTATGCTTCATCGTAATTGCGAAATATATTATATGTAATTACTACTTACCTGGACTTGCAATAAGACCTCCTTTGAATGCGTCATAGAGTGGCTGATATAATGGCTGGGCTTTATTAAGCAACTCCTTTGCAGATAGTACATCTTTTATGAAAGGTGGATCAGCTGTTATAATAATTGGATATGTGCCCATCCATGTACAAACAGTGTATGCCTTACAATCTTTGAATATTTTGCCAAACTCTTGAATAAGATCTGTTATTAAAATATGATTTAATAGAAATTAATAATTAATTTTGTTTATAATTTTCTATACACACACTCAATCAATACACTTATATGTATGTACTGTTTTTTACGTTTCTTTTAGCTGCATATTTTTATGTTTTTTTGTTTCTTTTTTTAATTGTAG